TCAAACCATCGGTAAAAATTAAAATTTTTCACATTTTCATTTTTTATTATATATCAAAAAATGATAAGCTTTGCTCAGAAAGGGAATTATATGTTGTGCAGTTTTATCAATAAATACAAATATTGTTTTTAAATTCTTAATTTTTGAGAAAAATTAAAAAAAAAAAGGTATTTTGAAATAAAAAGAGTATTTAAAATGAAAAATGAAATAATTAAATCAAACTACATCTTTTTTTTTTTTTGAACATTTTGATATAGGGCGGATTTGAAACTCATCCAGAAGTGGAAGAAATGGAAGAAATGCATATGTTCAATAACTAATGCCATTGGCCCTAGTTAATCAAACTACATCTGTATAAAAATGAAACAACTTAAAAAAAAAAAAAAGGGAAAATGTACTGCAATCTTCGTTTGGCCATAAAAAAGGAAGAAAAAAAAAAAACATAAGAGAGGCGGTCTAGATCCATGTTTCACTGCCACGTGGATCCCCATTTATTGTTTCACTTAGAAAATCACGCCACCTCTCTTACACTTACTACTTTGAAGTGGTAATGGAAAGCAGAAACCAGTACTCTTAACTTGGAGAAATGCATTCTTGTAAATTCAACTCAAACAAGTACTATTGATTCTTTATGTCAAAATAAAAATTAAAAAATAGGTTCTTAATTTAAATAAGTGTTTTAATAATTTATTGATAAATATTAACTATATATATCTCTTCTCTTGGTCAACTTACTTTATAATTCAAATTATATTCATTTTTAAGTTGACTAGCAATTTTATATTAACAATTATATTTACTGAAATCATTTCTAAAATCTTCAATGTGTAGAACTTATGTATATATATTTTTCTTTTTTCTTATTTTTTTTGTCTTATATATCAAGAAATTAAATGAGAAGCTTTTCTTAGTAAAAGAATGAAACAAAAAGCATCTTTTTTTTTTTTGCTCAAACAGTACTTGTATTCAAACCATCCGTAAAAATTAAAATTTTTCTCATTTCATTTTTTATTATATATCAAAAAATGATCAGCTTTGCTCAGAAAGGGAATTCTATGTTGTGCAGTTTCTGTTTCCAAACCTAGAGGAGCTGCAATTGTCACGGATTAATATTGACATGATTTGGATAGCATCTTACTGTGTTGAGAACCTGACAAAATTGATAATTCATGGCTGCGATAACTTGAATTACCTCTTCTCATCTACTGTGGCTAGAAGTCTAGTGAAGCTTGGACACCTTGAAATAGAGGAATGCAAGATGATGACAAAGGTTCTTTCTAAAGAGAATGAAGAAGAAAAGGGGAATTTGATTTTCCCTGGGTTGAAATTTCTACAGTTACGGC